GAAGCGAACCCGGACCATGCGTGTGCTATAGTGCGCCTGTTGCCACTACATCACTTCTGCTCAGGCTAAATTAGAATTGCTGCTGTTTCATCCATAAGATCAGATGTTGAGTCTGAAAAAATCCAGAAACGCTCTTCATAAATAAATGAATAAGTAAATAAATAAATAAATAAATAAACATATTTAAAGAGGATAGAGAGCTTTTATGCGCTCAGGTGTATGCGGCGGTATGTCGTTGATTCAGAGGTTCCGATTCAAGATCAATAGAAACGGACTTCAATTTCATGGTGGTAATCGAGGAGAACATATAAATAAAGGTGGTAAAGACAGAATTACAGTTCAAAACCTAATGTTTCCCTAGAAAATGCTAATACCTGTTGAGATTTGCCAGATATCTCACTTCGAAGTCGCACAAGGTCACACGAGGAAAATGACCAGACTCTGTCCACGGCTTACCATTCATCAAATCTTGTAGAACCTTAACAAATTCATTTTATTTGGTGTAAACTATTACAAATGAGAATGCGCTGACCTGGAATCCAAAAAATAGATACTCGTCGGATTTGAGGCACGCATTAAGTAGTATAAACTGGACAACAATATTGAGCGTATAGAAGAGTTTCGTCATGAGATATAGTGTGGAAACATAGTGACCGGCAAGCAGCCTATAACAAACAACCGTAATCGGTGCTAGTAAACATTTTTGTACGTGGAAACATCAAAATTTCTTTGGGAATATGATTCTAACTTGTCAATCAATATAAGTTATATGTCAGTTTATAAACTTGGATACGACGACCGATTTTTCGTGCAAATTTTAGGTTGAATTTTCCGTCTTTGCAGTAAAGTTGCAGCTGGAAAGCGAAAGTGTTGGTGGAGAATAGTGAATCAGCCGAGAAAATCCGGCGATTTTAGGTATATACACCCGCGTACATTTCAAGAAGATGGGTGCAGTGTATGTACATCACTTGAATCCTGAGTTCAGGATCTGAGAAACTGAACTCTAAGGGACAGATTGAAACAATTGGGTTGATTTTTTCACACTCTAATGAATTTTTGAACACATCCTCATATCGAATTGAATGCTTATAAATCATTCCAAAAAGATACTCCATTTCAACAACGGAACCGTTGAATTATCGGTTTCTGTAGCAACTTCTGAGCGAAATCGCCACGATTTTGCGAATTCGTGACTATGGTCGAATGTCTTTTGAAGAATACCTTTTACATTTCATTCTTCCCATCAAACTTCGCAATGGCAATTCTGCGTTCGGTGCTTGCAGATCCAGATTGTCTACGAAGCACGATGCAAGTGCGTCGATTGCCTTAAAAGTCAGTTAATGTATCCTCACTATACACAAATCCCTTGCGTCTGTATTTTGTCATCTGTCGTCGGCCAAGTTTGGAAGAGGGTCAAGGGCAAGATCGAAAGAACACATGCTGTTCCCACTTATGGCAAGACAATCGCCACTCTGAGCGGTACTAATGACAGAACTACCCCGGCTTGAAGAAAGCCCAAACGCAGGGGAAAACTGAGCCCATGATAGGAATGAATCAACAAAGGAGACCCATGACGTCATGGTGAGCGACCGCCTTCAACGTGGCGACCCTTACTGAACAAATTCGTGAAACGGTTCCTCCCGAGGCCGATGGTCGGAAAAAAGCTACAAAAATGAGCAAAGTCTCAAATGAGATAGGAATGGCTGAATTTGAATTAAACTCCACTTTCTATGGGTGAGTTGTCTCAGATGGAAGGCGTTTTGCACAAACGTTCGCAACTCTTGACAAACACTGAAAGAAAGTGGGTATAGGCCATCATTGCAAGGGTAGTCGGGCGCCCATAATGAGTAGGCGGAGGAGAGGTTCTAGGGCGGAAAATTCACAGCTCTGCTCAAAAGCTGTTTTAAAAGTGGAACAAAAAAAAGGGAGGGCTTGTTTACGGGAGATTAGTCAAACCCCGCCTAGTGAGTGATGCACGGAGATGGACGGAGCTAAGAATAATCATAGCCCGCTCAAAGACATTTTTTGTGATTAAGTAGCGGGCTTGAACTCAACTAGTGTGACATATGCTGGCGCGCTTCATAATACCTGAACAGCAAGAAGCACTTAACTAGAGAACAAGGCTATGTCATGAAGAGTGGATTCAATAGCTATGGAACTAGGAAATAAGGGAGCAGTTTAAAAAAGCTTATTCATGTAGGGCGCGGCTAACAGATCCATCCGCTCCAACTATTTCCATGGAACGACGTCTGTGCTGGACCTATTTTTATTACTATAACTTTTTCATTATTCCCTTTGAGCACTTTTTGGAGTCACCATCTATGTTTTCCTGTCCTAAAAAAGGGACACCTGAATAAGCTGTATATGAACTAAGAAAATGTGGTCGAATTGACGATGCTTATAGGCCGGAGTCAATTGACGATCTCTTCTTTTATACGTAAATCGCTGGCAAATCTCTCAAAAGTGTATTTACTTTGATTCTGAGTAATGTCGTATGTTTTCCAGGAAGAAAAAGGCATTCAGCATTACCTTCTGGCGTTCCGATGGATCGACAACAGCTTGAGTATCGCAGGCGGCATTGATGAGGTGTTGAATATTTAATCCTGGAAAGCACAGTAATTATAGGTTCTGAAAGTGCCTGAGAAATCCGTTGATAGCAAATTGCTGAATCGCGTGTAAAGGGCAGATCCACGGCTTTTCAAAGTCCCAATGTACATATTTCAAGACCTGGAAAGGGCTAAGGCATCCATTCGAATGTCCTTACGAACAGGAACGAGCGCAAAACGCTTCACTTCTCATTCACCTGATTGTAGCCGACAACATGGACGAAAATAAAAAAAATAAAATAAAATTGTTTCATAATTCAAACCTCAGGTACGCTATCTATGTGAAGAACACATCTACTAAAAAATGAGATTCCAGCCCCAAGTTGGTGTGAGTACAGCTATCGGTTGACCCTAGAAGCCCTTTCTCCTCTCCGTTTCTAGTGTTTTGTAGAATACGAGAGACCTTGCCAAGGCGTCACTATTTTCATGAGCTTCTCATCTGTACAGGAAGTTCTCATCCTAAGCTATGCGCTGTAATCAAACACAATTTACAGCAATTCACAGAAACGCAGTGAACGAAGTAATTTGTTGAGGGTGAGAGATCGTGAGTTACAAATTATTTTGATGTTAGAGAAAAAGTAGCTTCACAGTGAATGCAGAAGATGGTTGGAACGTTTTCAGAGGGAGCGTTTTATTTAGAGGTCATCCTATTTACTGAATTGTCTTCATAGTTCTTGTGGTAAGAGCATTATCTGGTTGTTCTTGAGTTTGTTCACCCATGCTACGATTGTGTTCTTATTGGTTTTATTCTTTACCTCTTTTTTTCTTTTTCGTAACTTTCTTTCGATGACCTCTTAATCCCCTTCTCATTGCATACAAATGTTGGAGCGCCCTGTGTGCACAACTGAATGAATAAATATATATTATCGGCCTCTTCGTGTCAGTGCCATTTTCACTGCACGAATACTCGTCCGAACCAGAATATCTCTGTGATAGGGCGGACATGGGTAACGGAACTTCTCCCCGATCGCTGCATTCTCCTTTGCGGCATGTGGCAAATGTCACTGCAACTACCGTACTCCCCCCGCCTCCCCACCAATCGATTGGACGCGAAATTTTTTGTTAATTTCCCTTCTTTTTTATTAGATTTGATCGTTTTTTTCTATTTCTTTTTCATTTTTATGTTTATTAGACTTGATAATCAGTATGACTCGTCCTATGTGAGCGACGATCAAGACTGCATTGAAATTGAAGAGAGGGGTCAGCCAATTCAAATAATTAAAGGACTCCCTACCTCACAAATTGCGCGCTCCAATCTGCCATCGCAATCCTGCGATACGCGGCGGGTGCGGCGTGCGCGACGCCGTCTTCAGGGAGAAGTTCCCGGACCCGGGCGGACATCAGCCTCGCCTGCTTTTAGCACCCTTCATTAGGCCACTTCTCCACCATTTCGTCAGGATCATGATCTTTACAAATGTGGAACATTTTCACTACGTATATGCTCAACTTGTGCGTGTTCACTATTTTTTGGGCCAGCTGATCGAAGGAAATAAGCACTTCGTTCGTCCTCTTAGCAGATTTTGAAAAACAGATTGGAACTAAAGACGGGAACAGGACTGGCTCTAAGAAAACTTACCAGACTGCCACGAAAGAAGCCGCCAGAAAATGCATGGCAAGGAGAACATAAGGGCCTCGGCGATCAGGATGAATGGCACCCATTGGTAGTAGCCAATTTGTTTATCTATAATCTATCTGCTTACTTCCTTTCGTTACATTTCTGACAGATAATTGAAAATAGTCATTGAGAAGCTAATGACTAATAATAAGTGTGAAGTGATGATTCACAGTTTGAGGATTTTATCTATCAATATGACAACAACAACCTTCTCGAGCGGTGTGGTCATCTGGAATGTTCTCGTACATTGGAACCCAGTAGGTGTTCTGTATCCAGCAGTAACTCTCAATATATTCTTCCATGCTTTCCCTTGAATGGGGATTCACCCAACATTCGATCGGAGTGCCACCATACTGAAAAGTTTTTAATGCGACTTCATTTATTTGAAACTTTTTAATCTCGTTTTTGTTTGTGTTCCAATGGCGGACCCGGAAATATCTGGATGTGGGTAATGGACTCCCAAAGTGAAAGTGTAGGTACTTCAAAGTGCTACTCAAGTTATGAAAAACTTAGGAAAACGGATACCTGCTACAATTAGGGCTCTTTTGGGTAACGGAACTTCTCCCCGATTGCGGCATTCCACCTTGCGGCATGCGGCAAATGTCACTGCAACTACCGCATTCCCCCCGCCTCCCCGCCAATCGATAGAACGCGGAATTTTTGGTTAATTGCCCTTCTCTTTTATTAGATTTGATCGTTTTTTCTATTTCTTTTTCATTTTTATGTTTAATAGACTAGATTAATTAGAATGACTCGTCCTAAGTAAGCGATGATCAAGACTGCATTGAAATTGAAGAGAGCGGTCAGCCAATTCAAATAATTAAAGGACTCCCTACCTCACAAATTGCGCGCTCCAATCTGTCATCGCAATCCTGCGATACGCGGCGGGTGCGGCGTGCGCGACGCCGTCGTCAGGGAGAAGTTCCCGGACCCGGCTTTTTTTATAGGTGAGAAGATACAATGATTCGAGGGGAACCGAGGAGAAGCAGGGAAAAAAGTGGTGGGCAGTTATTTCGAATGAATTTTCGCGTGGTAATTCTAAACCACAGCTGACAACAGCGTTGATTTTCCTTTACAGTTTACAGTTGGAAAACTGCAGAGACACAGAATTGTGACGTCCCTTTGATATGGATTCTGTCACTTCCATATGGGAAAGTAAGTATTGGAAGGATGTCTTCTGACCATCGAACACTGCTGGATCTTTTGGCATACCTGTTTAGCACTAATGATGAGGCATGCAATACAGAGCATAATTGGTGTATAGTAATAATTAAGTCGATCGATAACGTCGTCATCTCCACGGAGCGATAGGGCGTTGATGAACGAGCGTGCCAACGTTGCATGGAAGAACATGTCGCTCCTCGCTGCACCCACCACTCCACCCCTGAAATACGGCTACTATAAACGCAACTTTGGACATAATGCTCATACATTTATAACCATCGGATTGTGAATATAAACACGAGAAACTCATGATTGTATCGAGAGGAAGCAGTATACTACTTATTCGCTAGCGAGAACGTCACAAACCTTTCTACTTACAGATCAGAGTAGGATAATTTGTTTAGAATTGATGGCTTCGGACCTTGGCCTTAGACCCATTGCACGCCTATTTCATTTCGATTCAGGAGCAGGGCGAGTTTTCGAGTAAAAGTTTTGTTTGCGTTATTTTTTGCGAAGACCTCTCTGGAGCTAATCCTAATCTGGAAGCGCCCTCTTGGGTTGGAAGGTTAAAATCCGAGCCTGAGAGTGGGGCAGGGCCTTCTTGGGTTGGAAGTTCAAAATCCAAGCCTGAGAGTGGGGCAGTCCGCTAATCCAACTTGATGTGGCACCACTACCTTTCTCTTAGCAGTCTTCCTTTACTCTACCACGGGCTTGCTTTATTTGCAGGTCAGAGTAGGAAAACTCGTTTTGGATTGAAAAAAAGAAGCAGATCACACATTTTTGCTCACACTAGAGATCCTCTCAATAGCGCTATCTAAATGAATGGCGATACCTGATCTGACTGTGCTTCGTGTTGTTCTAACTGTTGCTGTTGTACTCGTGCGCAACATGTTGTTTCAATAAATAAATGAAAAAGTAAAAATAGAGGTTAACGCTGCAACTACGGGAACATTCACGACTCGAGAAAAGTTCCCAATGTGAGACTATGTCTGATGTTATTGAAAGCACCTAGAATGACTTAAAAGCCTCCTACGGCTAAAGAGAGAATTGCACGCTCCAATAAATTGCTTTGTTCTCAATCGGTTTCTGGTAGAAGAATGTGCTGCACGTATGAATGATTTCTTGCAAACAAGTCCACTGTTTCTGGAGGCAAAATTGCAATCGTATATTGTTTATTTACAAAGAATTTGAGGAATATTTCGAAACAGGAGTTGGTCAGTGGCAAGTGTNCGGCTAAAGAGAGAATTGCACGCTCCAATAAATTGCTTTGTTCTCAATCGGTTTCTGGTAGAAGAATGCGCTGCACGTATGAATGATTTTTTGCAAACAAAGCTACTGTTTCTGGAGGCAAAATTGCAATTGTATATTGTTTATTTACAAAGAATTTGAGGAATATTTCGAAACAGGAGTTGGTCAGTGGCAAGTGTCAATTACACAAGTATGGAACCGGGATTGATACCTGCTTAGGACACCATGTCTCCCCATCCCTTCACGGGGGCCATTAAAATGGTGCCAGTATTGCCAGAGATACCAAAAGCACCAAAAGTACATTAGCCACACCGTAGGCCACTTACGCTTTCAAAACACCAATGTCATCCTGTCTGCACGAAGGTCGATCGCGTATCCCAGAAGTGGAAGTGGCTTCAATAACTTCATGCCCCCATTGTGTGGGGGCATCTGGGGGTGAGCAAAAAGCAATTGAACAAGTTGGAAGTTTTGCTCAAAGAAATAGAATCTGTTTCCAACAGTGTCCACGTCTTCTACCGCAGCTGTTATGAATGCTGTGGTCATGCTTGGCACCAGCGCCACTAGTCCCGCTGCCTCGATACCAGAGATTCACTGGAGGTTTCTGGCTAGTGTCAGACACTGGCACTGTCAAAGTTCAGATAAGAAGATAATGTGCTCGGAGGAGAGAATTAAGAGAACGACAAGTAGGCCGATTTGGGGTTTTCTCAACAGTAACTCGATTGTAAACATTGTCGCTAGGTGAATTACATCAACAATTATCACTGCAGGCTAGAAGGAGACAAAAGCCATTCAACAGAACGAACTGCATTTTCGCAGTGCACTAGTCACCATTTTAATCATATTACGAAATATTCTGAAGTGCAGGTATAAATTTGTTGTCTCGCGTGGGAAGATATCTTCAGATGGAAGATTTTCAAAAGTATAATTTTTGGTTAGTTCAAATAAAAATCTCCACTAAAAGTAAACTAACGTGGGAAATAATTTCGAATCATACGGATCAACACTACTTATCAAATATACTTTTCCAAGTGAAAAAGGTTTCCATGGCAGCATGTAGTCAAACTTTATAAGCGAGACAATGAGCAGTTTCTAAGTTCTGAGCTCTCTAGTAGTCCTTTTTGCTATCTTCTCCATGTTCTCTTCGCAGTAGCTTTTGAGGACGATGAGGAACACTGGATAGCTTGGGGATTCTATTTTTGATGCCTTGCTGGTAGAGACCATTTGCGAGTTTTCTAAATTCGTTGCTTTTGCAGCCTTCCACTACTTCTAGAGATTAATAAATACCACCCGATTTTATCGCTTCTTTTTCTCATATTTTGCCAAATAAAACTACTGGAACGTCACTATCCCTGTGTATTGAATAGAAGAGCATCCGGGGTAATAATTAATCATTAGGAAAGCCATGAAATGAGAGTTTATGTTTATGTTTATGTATGAGTTTAGTTAATTTTAAGGTGTTTGCGGTAAAAGTCAAAATGGGAGACTAACAACATTGAGATCGAAGAAATCCGAATTCTAAATCGTCTGAAGCTTGTAAACAAACAAACAAGCTTGTAAACAAGTTTCTGAGCCCCACATACATGACCTCAGCAAACACTAGTCTTATTTTCATATCAAAAGCACGTAGGATGCATTGAGTTCAATATCAGAATGGACATCGCAAAGCAGGTAGATATGTTGACGAGTCCGTCGACCACATAAAGCACTCAGAGATGACCGGACGCACTATGATGGGGAAGCAACTGAGGCACAACCTAATGTGCCTTTTAGACCTTCCATTAGTGGCATAGAATGTTCACAATTACTAGAAAAAGTTCCAGCGCAGCTGTGTGCAAGAGTGCGTGTGCCTTTGCTGAAGTCTTAGATCCGTGAATTCTCAATTAGTTCCCTTCGGAATTACTCCTAATTTATGTTCATTCGGCTTTAATAGCGAACAAGATTTACAATTTGCAAGAACTTTGCGGGCGACTTCAAGCGCCGGCGCTTGTGCACTCTTTTATCTCCTTACTCCGATCAACCCATAGAGAGGGCAATTCGTGAGCGTTCATGGGGCGATACTATCTTCACATTTGATGAGAAAATGCTGTTAGCAGGTTAGACTGACGGGAAACATTTTCGGTGGAAATGAGCATGGACCAAGGGTCTGTTTTGTAGGAAGCATCGACGAGTTCGACTCTCATTGTGAATCGCAGTGGCTAATGGAATACCTAGAGTATGGCTAGCCGATGTACGAGGAGGTGCTTTTACAATTCAGACCAGTCTGTTACCAAATAACCGAGCTCGGAGAGGTGGAAGGTTAATTGACCTGAGAGTGAGTCGGTCTGGGATTCGCTACTCGGACTGTGCGCGATAGTACGTCACTTCGGGCTACATCCCTTTCTCCAAATTTGAGCATTTTTAAAGGTTAGGAATTTATAAACTCCTTTAAGATAACCCTATTCATTCAAATTTTCCAATAGGTAAGTTAAAGGTGAACCGCTCGTTATGAACGTAGCTATATTACCACACAGATGAAGCAGTATAGCAGCAGTTACAGAATTGTAAAAGTCTAGTGGAGTGGGATAAACCGCAAATGCCAAGTTTTCATGATCCGAGAGCACGACGGGTTTGTCTTAAATCACAAAAACAATCTGTGCCTCTAACAGCCTCTAGCCTTTGCCAACCTAGGGTCCTTGGGAACTACCCTCAGCGTTCATTCATTTGCAACCAAGCGCATTCATCTGTTAAAATTGCCTTGATTCTGACTATTTAGAACAATAAAAGGGTTTTTAGCGTTAATCAATCCCGTCTGAGGGATGCGCCCTCGCACTCGACTTCCATTCACAAACGTAGTGACGTTATGAGTGCCTATGTAGCCTATAGACTGTATGACTGTATGACTTGCGGTGGCCAGCCTATGTACGAGTCAGTGCTTTTATCCTCCCAGACGAGTCTGGTTCTAATTAACGACCCCGGAGGGATGGAATACTTAGTTTGCCCAGGCGACTATCGATCCGAGTTTCGAACCCCACATCGTGCGTGTGAATAGAGCGCTACTTGCCACTACACCACCATTTTTACTCTGAATAACAATAAAATGCGTCAAAAACCGGAGTGCTATCAGTTTCGTGCAACTCTGCAACTACCCAAAGTGGAATTGTATTATAAAAAGGTAAAAAACAACATCCTCATTATGTTTTGCATTTTCTATGTTATTGATGCGGAATTGTTGCGAAAGCCTGATATAACAAGAATTGGCCTCTCGAAAAGCTAGCGCTGAAGGATTAGGTTAGAGCATGGAACATTCAAGGAGGTCATTAATTCAGTCTTGAAATGCTCCCACGCACTCGACTCTTATTTTCATATTAAGAACAGTAATGGTGTTTGCATGTGTTCTTGCCTATATGACGACTTGTGGAGACTGGCCGATGTATAGTTAGTGATGATATCAGCCTAGACAAGTATAGCGCCTTTTCATCGGAATCCAAAGAATGGAAGGCTCGATGGGTCCAGGAGTAAGAAAACGCTTGTGAAACTTGACTTTACCACACCTTCACTTTCATTAGTTCATTGCTTAAACGGCAAAGTACCGCCAGAACATATTCTACAGTACTTTTCCAGATTATCGTAGAAGTGGTACCTTTTTTTTGAACCCACTAAAAATTTTGATAGAAACAAATAGCATTCCGGATGATGAAGCGAATCTGGTCGTTGTTACACGAGAGTGCGCCACTACCTTTGGCACTGAGGTAAACTAATGACTGATTCATTTTACAAAGACTCACTTTCAAAATTACCTATAGCAAACATTTAGTGGAATAGATTCATTTTGAAGGAGTTCATAGACTCCTAACCTCTAAACATGTTGAGCTTTGAGGAAAGGTACAACTGGCGCACTACTTCCGCTACTTCCCGAAGTGAACACTAGCTTCTTACATTACTCTTTCCATTTCCATGTGGGTGTTTCCCTCCCGCTTTAGCAGAGCAGGAACCCTACTAAAGCGAGAAAGAAACTTCTGAATTACTTGAGCAGAAGAATACACAAGGCATTCAATGACGACCGACCTAGCTTATAGTAGCTACTATTTCATCCTGAAGGACTCGTGAGCTTACTATCAAGAAGTCTTGTTGGCTAGAGTCATTCAGAAGCAAAACAAAGTGAGAGCAAATACGATTTGGGAAACATCATAAAAGGGAAAATGGCCGTTATGCGATAACCTCGGTTGGTTGTCTATGCAAATAGTGGTAGTCACTTGTCATTCGAATAACGTATAAGTAGATTTTCTGTGACATCAACCTATAACTCATCTCATAGCTTAGCTGTAATGACACTACATTAGGACTCCAAGTAGGCTGATAGCAGTAGGTAGAAATCAGATACTCAAGGTACTTAGAATTACCACATCACTCCATCCTTAAATGTTGCCGACGAGAAACCTGTGGGTGCTCTCTCCGCATGGATCAACTATGGATTTGGGGTCATGGCTGATCCATGTGAACAGCCAGAAAAGGCCAACAAACGGAATGCTCCGTCAGCTTTGTTGCGCGACAACTTGAGAGTGGGCGCCTTCGAGTAAGTTACAATATCCCAAGATAGAGAATTACTGGCTTCTCCTTCGAAGTGACACCTTACAACTAAAAGAAATCGCCGCGTGGTTTTTTC